ATCATGTGCTGAGTTAAATTCCGCTTTTCACTAAAACCTTTTCCACAGGTCACACATGAAAATGGCTTTTCAGCAGAGTGAATAATCATGTGCTGAGTTAAATTCCGTTTTTCACTAAAACATTTTCCACAGTTCACACATGAAAATGGCTTTTCACCAGAGTGAATAATCATGTGCTGAATTAAATTCCATTTTCCACTAAAACGTTTTCCACAGTTCACACATGAAAATGGCTTTTCACCAGTGTGAATCCTCATGTGCAGAGTNCCAGTATGAATCGTCATGTGCCGAGTTAAACTCAGTTTTTGACTAAATCCTTTTCCGCAGTTCCCACATGAAAATGGCTTTTCACCAGTGTGAATCCTCATGTGCAGAGTTAAATGCTGTTTTCGACTAAAACCTTTTCCACAGTTCACACATGAAAATGGCTTTTCACCAGTGTGAATCCTCATGTGCAGAGTTAAATGCTGTTTTCGACTAAATCTTTTTCCACAGGTCACACAGGAAAATGGCTTTTCACCCGTGTGAATTCTAATATGACGATTGAGAGTAGATATGGCAGTGAAACGTTTTTCACAGGTCTCGCATGAGAAAGGTTTTCTTCTTTCCTGATTTTGGTTCTCAGACTCAGCAGCTTCCTGGAAGATGACTTGGTTCCTGTTTGGTTCTGATTCAGTGTGGGATGTTTGTTCATCAACAGGAACCACCATGCAGGTATCAGTCTGCTGTTTTAGCTCAATCTGTTCTTCACCCTGACTGCAGTAAACTTCTTTCTCTTCCACTTTTATCTGCTCATGTTCTAGATCCTCCTGCTCTTCTTTTATCTGCTGATCTTCTGGTTCTTCCTGTTCTTGTTTCACCTGCAGAGGTTCTGACTCCTCCTGGTCCAGAGTGGATCTCCTCTCCTGCTTACATAGCTTCTCCTTGTAAATGTTATGTTGTTGGCAATCTAGAGAAGAAAATAGAAAAAAAGAGGAATTGTTAACTTTATTGATTGAAGTAAATGAGAGAAGACTTTCAGACAGTAACCCATTTAATCCCAAATTTGTAATTTGAATAATTTTAATTAAGTGAAAGTAGCAATTATTCCTATTATTTAGGAATTATTATGTTTTATTTTGGTTATGGTATTGAAACGTTGGTTTCATATTTGGGATTTATTTTTGCCAGTGGGAAAATATGTAAACTAATTTACACTAATCTAACCTATTTACAAAAAAAAAAATAAAAATAATGGCAAGCATAACCTATAACAACGAGGCATGATTATAAGTGTCTTCAGAACCATTTTAGATGGATGATCAGTGCAGACTGCAGGATTTTTCTAGATACATGAAGATTAAATGCCACATCATGCAGATGGCTTTGTCTTAATGTGCCAACCTCACCTGGTCATTTTATCAATGAGGCAAAGTCAGGTGAAAACTTGTTGTCATGCCCAGATGTACATCCTGGAGGAACTTCTGCCTGTTCCACCAGACCAAGCACGACACTTGAGCCCCGTCCTAAGCCAGTTCCAGGTCTGGCATCATCTTTTAGTAATTCAGTGCACTGAGCATAGACCACACTTTGTGGAAAGGGTCGCCTGTTGGCGGAGTGGGAACTCTTTTCCAACTGAGGGAGAGACAGTGATGTAGAAGACATCCTTTTGAGGTACTTTCAGGTCTAGACGGGCTAAATCATCTCATACTGTTAAGCTGGATTAACACCCACACAAGGAAGGAGGGAAGAAAGGAAGGAAGGAAAAAACTTCCAGTTCAGGGCAGGCACGGCTAACTCCACCACGGGGCTGGTTGCCATGGTTACATTTACTCTTCTGTGTTGGAGCTATTTATTCTTTATTTTATTTATCCATTTTAATTTTGTTAGTTTATTCTTAAATTTATATTTTTTGTATTATTTACAGAGTGTATTTATAGCTTAATAATTGTTGATTTTATTTATTTCTGTTGTTCATTTTCTACGTAAGACAGGAAGAAATGTGGGTTGGTCCACTTTCTACAGGGTTCGGTGCCTATGGTTTTTACCAGAGCAAGAGAGGTAGCAGAAAGAACAAAGGAAAGTTTGAACTCTGTAAGCAATATTTACTGCACCTTCGTTCGTCACACTCAGAAACTCATCTACCAGCTATGTACCGCCACGATGCGCTCCGCCACCCGTTTGTTCAGACTGGGATGACATGAAATTTATTGTGCGGTTCGTCCGTAAACCTGCACTTACACTGTAACCATCCACTACTTAGCCACCCGCCGGGTTCAGTCTATCCACTCACCTGTATAAATACTCCTCAGCGATCTTCCCACCGTTCGCTCTGAACCAGCAGCTCCTGGAGGAAAAAGGCTGCCGCACTCCAGGCATCGCGCCAGTCATTATAAGGATGTTTATTGGTCCCCCAAAACGATGGAAACCCAGACATTATCATCAATCAATAAAATCCCCATTGGCCGAACTTGAAAACTGGACATTATGCCGCTAACACTTAGCTTTCGTCAACAACTGAGAGGCGGAAGTCAGAGCTCCGCGTAATGCAAGTAATGTTCTGGTCGGAACACGTGGCTAAATAATAAAATATAAATTAATGAAGCTTCGAGGCAGGTAAATTTTCCTCGAGGAATTTTAACAATCAAGGTACTCGAATCACTCGAGGAATCGTTTCAGCCCTAATTTTATTTCATTAAAAAATATATAGATTTATTTAATTGGCGAATAAATAAAACAAGAAGGTAAGAACGCAGAGCATGCTCATTGCTCTTTGATTGTTTTCGTGTCTCCTGTCATGGTGGCAGACATTGCAATGGGAAGGAGGTTGGTGCTCCTTCTGCTTGGTTACTTCTTGCGCCTTGGTCAGCATAGTTGATAACCTCCGCGGATTGTAGCACAAAGATGAAAGCAAAGCAGAATGAAGAAGAGTTTGAATTGATACTAGTTAAAGTTATTTCAGCTCTAAGTATTTAATATC